TTTTCTTTCGGCTTTGTCCCTTTTTTTTCAGGGGTTGCCACAGCAGATCATTGATTTCCATCTCTCCCTGTTCTCTGTATCTTCTACTCTGCCTCCAACTATCTGCATGTCCTCCCTCACTGCATCCATATATCTCCTCTTTGGTCTTCCTCTCTTTCTCCTACCTGGTAGCTCCATCTCTAACATTCTTCTACCAATGTGTCCACTGTCCCTCCTCTGCACATGTCCAAACCATCTCAATCTGGCTTCTCTAGCTTTTTCTCCAAAACCTTCCTGTCTGTGTTGTCCCTCTAATGACCTCATTCCTGATCCTGTCCATTCTTGTCACTCCTAAAGAGAATCTTAGCATCTTTAACTCTGCCACCTCCAGCTCCGCCTCCTATCTTCTGCCTATTGCTACCGTCTCTAAACCATACATCATGGCTGGTCTCACACACGTCCTGTAAACCTTTCCCTTCACCTTAGCTGACACTCTTCTGTCACAGATCACTCCTGACACTTTTCTCCAGCTGTTCCATCCTGCCTGTACTCTATTCTGCTCTGAACAGTATATACATATACATATACATATACACATATATACACATACACATTTATATATAAATATACATATATATACATATATACACATATACATACATATATATACTGTAGAGATAAGTATTGAAGTACGCTGTACATTTTTCCCAAACGTTTGTTTACAGAGACACAGAGAGCAGAAGATTCATTTCTTTTCTGTTCGAGGATGTTGAACACGTGTTCAGGAATGTTAGTGTTTATGAGCAGATACGTAGAAAAGTCAATTTAAAGTTCAGTGTTCTCCTGATCCAAACAGCTCTTTACACTTAAAGTGCATTATTTAGATTGCATTTGGGCCAGATGAACATTAGGGGCGTGTGTCGGCAAGTATCTGGTGATACAATACATGAGGCAACAATACGTGTATATATATATTTTAATAATTTAATTGTAGTCCCTATATATATATATATTTTTTTTAATAATTTCATTGCAGTCCCAGTGTGATCCTAGTCTCAGACTCTGTTCCATCTGAACATCAGTTCCTAACACTGGAACAGAGGGATCTACATTTGGAATCACTAGAGAAGAAAGAAAAGAAAAAGAAAATGAACCAACACCAGGAATATTGGACTGGGAATTGGGGAGAAAAAAATTGCTGTAGTGCTGTAGAATATTGATACTGTATCTTGAAACTAAATATTGCAATATTTCAGTGTATCTATTTTTTTTTACACCACTATTAAATATACATCTATCTCAGCCAGAAACTTCAGAGACACCAGGTGTTACAGGCCCATGAACACGTTCATCTAAAATGAAAATTATCACTGAGAAAATAAACAGCATTTCCTCTCATAGATTTTTTTTTCCCCCCAAACATTCCTCTCAGCTGACCACTCCAGTACCTCGGTCCTGCTCTCACTACACATCCACACACAGCACAGACAGAGGAGAAGGAAAAATCCAAAAAAGCCGCCCTCACCTGACCGAGAGGTGGAGGATTTCAGTTCGAGACCTCCTCATGTTGCTCGCCATTTTGATCAGCTCCTTCTCCAGGGAGTCTGTGTACTGGGCCAGCTGGTCCAGGCTGACGGCCCAGTCGCTCCTCCTCGCATCCAGCTCAGCCTGCACCGCCTGTGGGAGGATGGGGCCAAAGGGGTCAGAGGCTGGTGTGGATCGGTCGGAGCCCAGAGTGACGCACAACTCAAATAACCGGTCGTCTTTTGCACCTCGGGAAAAGTTTTGACACCTGGCTGTGAGAAATCGCTCCTCGCCGGCACTGACCACTAAACACCGGCCCGAGAACGGGGGTTGGTGCTCAGCTGCGCTAATGATTTCTGTCTCATTTGGTATGTTTACTGCTGTGTGGAAGAACATGGCTAATGAATGCAGAAGGGTGATACGCCAGGAGGAGGGGGAGCCGAGCGAGAGAGAGAGGGAGGGAGGAGGGAGAGAGAAAGAGTGGGTTGGTGTTTACAGCACAAAACAATGACTAAAGAGCAGAACTCTGATGGGGCCCGTTGGAGTTACGTAAGGAAGTCTATAGAAAGAGGAGGAGAGTGGGAGGGAGGACAAGAAGATGGAGCAGATATCGACATGTGGTGTAACAGGCGGAGAATGAACTGGATTTATGTTGAAATTACAGGTGACTTCACAGGTAAAGTCCATCATCAAACTAGAGTGAGACAAGAGCAGAGACAGTGGAGTAAAACGGATCAATCAGACCTGAACATTTGTCGCACGGTCGCTGCTGCTTTCGTGCTCATCCAACAAAGTTCTCACGGTTGAAATCACAGAGTTGGCTTCGTCTGTAAAGTTTCGTTTCTGGGGGAGACAAAAGAGAGGAAAAGAAAAAAAAAATGATCCATGATCTCAAACGTTTCAGTATCTTTTGACTGATGCTGGTCTTAGGGTCTGGGTTGGAGACATGAATGGTGGGAGGGGGATGGGGGGTCAGGGGTCCACATCACCAACACGTGGTTACCAGTTTGTTCAGGAGGCTTTTGAACTCCAGAGCCATGTGATCAGGACTGGGCCCCTGCATCAGTAGGAACACCTCCCTGTCCAGAGTCTCATCCAGAGGGGAGGTGATGTTCATGTTGGAGGACAGATGGTCCATCACATGGGAGACCTGTGAAAAAAAAAAAAAAAAAAAAAAAAAAGTAAATACAGATTTGTTATCTTTTAGATTTTTTTTTTCTGTCAGTAAATTAAGTGAGGGCAGTTAGAGCAGGAGAATGCTGACCTCCAGTGGCGACTGTGCCAGAGCCAGTTCTGTCTGTAAAGAACCTGAAGAGCTCTGGTTCAACCTGTAGGCAAGTGAGAGGGACAGACCAGCCCTGAGAGGGAAAAAAAAAAAAAAAAAAAAAAAAAAAAAAAATTTTTTGGGTGAAAAAAAAGGGGAAAAATTTTTTTTTTTTTGTTGTTTTA